TGACTGTGATTGCATGCTCCAGGATCTCGAGCAGTTCCTTTGTTTGGACGAGGAGAGTCAGGCTGACAGTTGTGAGGAGACTATGGAACACTTGTTCCAGTGTTTGGACGCGGACTCGTCATCTTCCTCATCCGGCTCGAACAAAGACAAGAAGGAAGAGAAGCCAAAGGATACCAATTGCCGGCACATAGCTAGCGTAATCTTTGCCTTTAGACATTTCGATGATATTAAAGGTCAACTAACATATAAACATGTGCGTCATTTCGTGAATGGTATCACCAGGACAAGAAAGACAAGACAAAAGGGAAAAACAAAAAAGACAAGAAAGACAAGAAAGACAAGAAAGCCAAGAAAGAGAAGAAAGATACGAAGGGCGAGAAGAAGACAGCAGAGCAAGAGCAAGCCGAGAAAGAAGCCAAAGATAAGAAACAACGATCACAGGATGCAAAAAAGGCCCATGTCTGATCATGATAAATCGATCAGTATTATGTGCATGCATGCATGTATATTTTACTTGATCGTCACACAGGCTATCTCCGCCGCAAGTGCAAAGATCAAAGCTGGATCTGAGCAGTCCAAGAACATTTACACCTTGCATGAATCTCAGCATACACACAGCTGCAATAGTATATATACCCGATCTTCACTAGGTCTGAGAACCTACGTGCGGCTGTGCAACGGGATGTGAATGCTACTTTGGCGGATTTGGAAGCAGCGCGAACCGAACTTCAACGCTGCCTAGACAACTCGGAGGATTTGTGCTTTGGTTGCCTTGCACAGTATTTATTTTGTTTGGGTCCAAATGCAGGACAGCAAGCTCCAGCAATCGATCGACAAAGTGAATGCTACTCGCAAGTCGTACGAAAAGGCTCTGGAGCCTTGCAAGGCCAAAAAGGCCAAGACAGCCAAGACTGGCTAGATCGAATCTAGCTAATTTTGCTACAGCTGCTTTTTAAAGCTGGTGATCAATCTGTGGGGTGCAATCTTGGTAGACTTGGTGAGCTTTTGGCCAAAGAGAACACGCAAATGTTTTGGACTTTGAAGAAACCACAATTTCATGGAAACAATTGTATTTTAATTGTCTTCTAGATCAAAACGTTGTTGAGTTGTGCAATGAGCGTGTTCAGGGTCCGTATGAGTTCGCATATTTCAGTGATTGCTTCAAGCCTGTGGCAGTCATGAGTGGGATGAACTCTAGCTGATTTGGGCACTAGTGCACCACCAAGCCCGAGAGAAGCTTAAAAAAAAGAGTGAATTCATCGGATCACGTGATCACGTGTAAGAGTCATTGTTTTACCGCAGCCTTAACGACCTTTTTCAAAATGAAAGTGTTTCCACACAGGTGCTGAATCCGAAGAACTTGGACCTGTGCAACAAGATCTACTTCACAAGTTAGCAGCTGGAGAAGCTTGCATGCACATATATAATTGCACAACACTATTATGCAAAAGTAATCGCCACAAGCATGCATGCATGTGCAGAATTGTTTAACAGCTAAGGCAACGAGTGCGCAAGCTGCATTTTCATCCGCACAGGCAGCTTTCAAGGCGATGTATGCAGCTTTACGGGAGTTTGATTAAACAAAATCATGGACATGAGTGCGTGCATGAGTGTGCATGCATGCACCTACGTAGCTGCCAGGAATCCAAAGGGGGGCGCACCACTTCTTGGACAAGGAAACTCGCGTCCTACCGATCGAAAATGAACAAAAGCCGTGATTTCTATAGGAACTTGAAACTACCAGTTGAAACTCGATCTGAACAAATATAATTTTGTTAATTTCGTTGCCGAAATCGGTTTTGTCGTACATTTCTTTTGGGATTTGATCTGAGGAACCAGATTTGGTGAAATGCGAGGTCAACACACCAAAGATGGATGGATCCACCATGGAAATGGATTTCCCGCTACTTCTGCCGGAGAAAGTTGTCAAGTATTTGATTGAGGATTGTGGTTTGCAAGTACCACCTTCCCGATTGAAAGAATATTGGGAACACCTTGAATCTTTACATGATCCGTGGGCGCTGGAAACAAAAGCTTACAGGTCAGCAAGCGAAGTTCCTGTCATTCCTTTGGGATTTTATGGGGACGAGGCAAATATGGGCTTCATTGGAGTGCAAGAGAAAATCATTGGCTTAACATTGAACCTGCCATTATTCCGGCCCAAGAGTACAAGATTTGCCAGGTACTCCATCTTTTCGATTCGATCTGACTTAGTTGTGGACCCGGTCAGAACATTCTACCCCGTCTTGAGGCAGATTGTGATTAGCTTCAACAAGCTTAGCGATGGGTTTGTGAGCTGTGCAAATTTCTTGGTTTCTGAGATTCGCGGAGACCAAGCATGGTTTCGATACCTTCTACAGCACAAGGCCTATTGGGCAGGCAATGAAGTTTGTTTTCGGTGCAAGGCCAATGTTTTCAAGAACTATGATTTTACGGATTATTCAGAGAGTGCTGGGTGGCGAACCACCTATCGGAACACAGCTGAGCTAATTGCAGACCAGTTACCATTACCACTTTGCAACACAAATTTGCTTAGAAACCTTTGGGCCTTTGGTCGGTTATTGATGCTATAAGAACAAAGGTGTATGGTTCGTGGCACCCCTAAAAATCAAGAGTTGATTGAACAATAGACACGCCCTATTTGTTGCAATGGCTCAGGTCCTTAGGTCTTTCTACGTTTTTTTCACATCGACCTCTTCATGCATTGTACCCTTCACATTGTGAACCTGGGTCTACTGGCTACATCCAATGGTGGATCTTTGATTCTAGTCTGCGTCCAGGACCAGCTCAACCCCCAAACCACGCCTTCATCGTTTCTGCGTTGGTTCAGGTCGATCTTGGGGTGCCCATCCAGTCACCTCAGTGGTACCGAGGTCGATGCTCTTGAAGATGAAAGCGTTTGACTCGCTTCAAAGTGCCTATGAGGACTTTCAAGTCTTTTGTCGAATTCACAAACTGCGACATTCTCAGCGAAGATTTACTCATGGGATGCTGTACAAGAAAGCTCACGGGGCCTTCTTAGCTACGAAGGGCTTCAATGCTCGAATCATTTGTGAGTGGATCAGGGACTGCTTAACTCGTGTGGCCCATCATGTGCCAGTTGATGCCCCTCGAAAACTCAAAATGGTTCATGCTGCAGATCATGATGAACGGTTGAGACACTGTTGCATTGCAACGAACCTTGATCACACTGGCACATTTTTTCCCTTTAGGCACATCCTTTTTGAAACGGGTTTTGTACTAGTAGCATCCAAGGACTGCCATGTGCCGCTACTTTGGACTTACTGAGCGCGCGGCTCGACACCTGCTGCTTGGCCACGATGTCCGTTCAGCAGCACATAGCCCGCAAACGATCGAAACCCGAGGCTGAATGTTGTGCAGAGTTCGATCTTAGGTACCAAACTGTTCGGCGGCCTCTAAGGACCAGAAATGAATCCAACCAAATCAGCCAAGCAGGCCACCTATTTCTACAACAACACTGGTACCTCACCTATCTGTCATCCAGGAGTTTGCTTTCTGTTCAGGTACTCCGACCAATGCATCTCAAAAAAAACACACACACTTGAATTCATGAATATTTGCTGAATGCCTGGGAGGATGGACGACTACTCTTGGGTGATTGTTCCAAAGTTTCACGATCCTCAGACTTTGCTTGGGAAATTTCTTTTGTGTTTGCAAAGGTCATCAGAATTTGTCTGATTCCCTTGACCTCAGTTTGTGGTGCGTGTGACATCTAAGGCCTTTCAACATTGTCTTTTGGATACAGTTCTGAAAAGAAGAACTTTATCTGAATTAAGAAGACACCCAAAGTGAAACGTGTTTTGTTGTTCGATCTGGAACCTTGAAATGCATACATGCATCATGCACTAGTAGCGGCCTTTGTTTATCGGAATTAGCTGAGGAACAAATCCAAGATTCGTTCACACGTTTATAGATGAGGACTCGATGAAGCTTTTGAAGGCCGTTAGCAGGCGACAATCCAAGAGTCGCATGGAACGTGGCAATATTCGAATTGCCCGGATACGTTTGTTGTTGCTGAAAGCAACTATCGACGATCTGAACAAGTCTGCCAGGGAGCGGCGCTGAGAAAGAAAAAACACCAAGCGTGAATGACCGTGAAATTCTTGAAGGTATAACAACGACATACAGCGCGTAGGTTACTGATGTCTTTGGATGTTGTGGGGTACCATATAGTACCCTATACACTGACCCATCGTACCTTTCACCTCAGCGGTTCGGTATGACTAGACCCGAACCTGGCCCCGGTCGTCCCACCTTCTCCGCTTCGGCCGGTCCCATCGTTCCGCGGAGACGACGGAGACGAGTCGCTGGGCGACGGCCCAACGACCGAGGTGTGGGATGGCCCAACGAGGGAGTATGAATTCAGCGCCGAAAAGGTGCTGAAATCAAGCACCCCAATGTGTGTACCAATCCCGAGTGTGTGGGCATGCAACAACAAAACATTCGGGTAGCTGGGCCGCTGTGAAGAGCGGGGGGTGTTGGAAGACTCTAAGAGTCACGACTTTCCCTCTACCATCCTTTACCCAACGCACGAGCTGGTTTGGGTCTCTGTGTGCGATTCCCAAACACTCCATGTATGCCATATATGCCTACATTGACCCCCCAAACCACCCCAACTGATCAGCATATATGGCAGTCCCATGGAGCGTCTGGGTTTGCTGCAGGGCTTTGTCCCAGCGATCCCTCTAAAAAATACCGCCAGTCGCCATCGATCCATCGATCCGCGAAGTGCTGACACTGGCGTCAGGAACACCTGGTTGGGTGTAGTTCGTTGCAGCTCTTCTTGAACATGGATATTTGATGGTATTGGACTTTACATGATTTTATTCTTAGTCCTTTTCGGATCGAGCCGGAGGTACCACATGGGAGAGTATCTCAAAGTCACTCCATGTGCCATTGGTGTTACATAAATTCTGGTGCTTTCACGAGTCAATGCAGTCTATGGAGTGTTTGGAATATGTTGAAATCGGGTGTTCGAGGCGCAAGTGTTGGAACCCTGAAATCTTCAGTCACCTGTGCCTTCCCATGGTGCTTCCCTGGAGTGGACTTCGGCCTGGTTGTGGACACGTATGAGTTCGGCCATGCACCACTTGACATTGAACCCACCTTCATCGAATCCGGTGCTTTTGTGAACGCACCTAGCTGAATTGCTTTCATAGGTCGATGATGGTGCAAAACATGGCAAAACATGGCAAAAACCATGGTCTTGTGTTTTCTGTTGTAGCATGTTGTAGCTGTTCTGGTGGCCATGAGACACCACCAGCGACAGCCAGGATGCCAAGATCCTGCAGCTCTTCAGCCCTCCAATGGGCAGTGGCGATGGCGGCACTGGCAGCCAGCCCTGAGCGATGCGTGAAGACAGCCGTGGATTGCACTGAGCGGTAGTGTCTTTGGGGAGAAAAAGACGGTTGAAACGAAGCCAACCGAAACAGGTAGACAGGTAGATTGATAGACTATCAGTATACTATTCATCTCATGTTCGGTGGTGCTTTAGGTATCGATTGGAATGTTGGTATTTTTTGTCGATCAAGACTCAAGACGATTTTCTCCAAGACGTTTCAATGACGGGACGGTGCAGAATGGAGAAAAGGATCGATCAATGGGTTGAAGGAGTTGAAGGAATTTTGGTGGAAATGAGTTGAGTTATATATATATATATACACCCTACCCTACTGTACACCTCCAAGTACCTCCTCAGAAGGTACTTAGACCCTCCTGGCACCCACCCCAAACACCTTCTCAGCAGGTACTTGGAGGCCTAGGGATAAGATATCTCCCATATCCTCGGAAGGTGGAGACTAACCCCCCCTGGCACCCAGCCCCAAGCATTTTCTCAGGGGTTTAAAGACCAGTTGACTGTTTGGTTCAATTCCACAGATTTTTGTTTGTGGGCTCAGCATTTGAGCATGGAGAAGCGACAGGAGATCGCGGAGTAGTAGACTTGAGCCAGCGATTACGATATCTCTTGTACCGCAGCAATTCTCAGAAGCTGATTGGAGACGTCATGTAGGTTTGGGGGTCCAAGTACATTCTGAGAAGGTACGACTGGATCCCTGTCTACCAGGACCCTCCAGTCGGGGTGCCCTGTCTGGAAGCCTGTTGGGGTAGTCCAGCCAGAACACCCCGACAGGAGGGTCCAGGTGACCTGACTGACCTGTGCGTCGTTCACGCACGTGGTTGACCTGACCTGGTTCCTCGGATGTGAATCGCTTGGACGTTGAGTTGATAGGATATCTCCACCATGTCCCGCAGGGTGGGTGTCCCGGAGTCACACGGCGCATGGGATACGGCGCATACCGATGTATATTGCAACAGTATACCTTGCCATGCCTAGGGAAACATCCACGAGACACTTTCTCCGCCCGCCCTTTTTCAAGCCTGGTTTTGCTTAGCGATTGTTTATTACTTTCTCTATGGGTGAATCCCCTCTGGGTAATATTTTTATTTATATCTTCCCCCAGTTCCTTAAGCAGATCCAAGAAGGGAGACCAACCAAAAAGGCTGCCCATGTTTCGATCGTATACGTTATACGACGCTCGCCATGAGACACCTCGCCAGCTTGCCGCAGGTCGGCCCATTCCCGGCGGTGCGCGCATTGAAGTCGGGCACCCTGCTGCCAGGCGGGCGTCGCTCGCGGGCGTTGGGCGCGGGCGTTGGGCGCGGTCCGAAGGTGACGGCCGTGCACCGGGAGGACCGAAAGCGGTAGGGCGGCGGCCGTGGCTGGTGACGGCGACCAAGGTGTGCCAAGGTGGTTGGCCATGTCCATGTCCGGAAGAATCTGACATTCGGAACAGGACCTGCAAGTCGACGCGTTTTCGTTTACACAAAGGGGTGCAAGACAAGTTATACCCAGACACGACTGATGGACTGCCATTATGCCGATCAGGCCAGGGGTGGTTTTAGGGGTCAATGGCGCGGCAGTCCTATGGCAGTCCCATGGAGTGTCTGGGATATAGGGATCCAAGTACCTTTTCAGAAGGTGATTGGAGGCACTGTTATGTAGGTTTGGAGGGTCCAGTCGTACCTTCTGAGGTTCGGTACGACTGGATCCCTAGGGATGGGGGTCGTGTCCTATGTTCCAAGGTCCGGACCTATCCGTCGGGTCGGAGGGTTCAACACTCCTGCGTGGTTGGTTTTTCGGGCTCACCTTCGGTGGTATGGTGTGCTCGGACCCTCCATGGCGGCTACAACGATCGTCTCCAACCACCTTCTCAGAAGGTATCGGTGAATCCATAACACCATCCAGGATACGAAACACCTCCCAAGTGTGTTTCTGACAACACGGCCTAGCCCTGCGGAGCGCGGTGCGAAGCGGCTGCAAAAAAGACTGTGTCGTACTGTAATTGTTGCTGTTTAGTTTTTGAAGCTCTCTCTGGTTTAGTGAATCACTTTCCATTCTGTATGCATTTTTTCCCTTCACATGAACGGGACAGAAGGCTCATTCCATGCGAGTCAGACTGGGAGTCCAAGATGTGCCCTTGGAGGTAAGCAAGGCAAGCAAAGCAAGCTCCTCCTTCCAATAGCGAGCCTGAGCGACATTGGCGTTTTTTGGGACCGAGCAAAGGGACGAATCGTCTCGGGACGATCTGACCGATGTGGAATGGTCCCGAACTGAAGATCCGGTCTACTTACTGGCCTGGCGCCAGTGTTGGGGGACTCTTTTTTGTTTTGTATTCGCTGCAGATAGCAGAGGTTTGGAAGAAAAACCCGATGTGGGCTTCCGGAAGATGTCCAAGTCGAAAATCTCGCGACTGGTCGCGAAACCCCGGCAGGTCGCAAAACCGGACGTCCACAAACGACCAAAACCGTGCGACGCGCCAACCGTGCGGAACGGCGCCCACCGTACGCCGCATGCGACGCCGTTGGCGCCGCGCGGCTGAACACCGGTGTTGAGCCGAGGAAGCGGAACCCTCCAGTGGTCAAGGAGCCCGAGCAAGTTCCACAGAGCGATACTTGGCTCAGGAAGTCCCTGAAGGGATCCGTTCTTTTTCGCACAGGGCGGGTAGGTGATTTGGTGGGTCAGCATGGTGCATGCGACCAAGAAACCTAGACATTTTGGTGCGAAAGAGACAGGTTGCTGAGGTTTTGCCGTCAACGCGGGGAGAGCGCGAACGATATACCGTGGGTGATGACGGTATCTCTACTTGTAAAAGGAATGGTCTGACGACCTAACGACCTAACCCCTGGCCATATTTTGGAGGGTTGGCGGTCCAACCTAGAGGCCACCCAGGTTCTATAGGCATCTATTTCCTATTCCCAAAGGCTCATTGGACCCTCATAGCCAGGGTTTTCACCCTCACAGCCAGGGTTTTGGACCTCAAAGATGTAGCAGTTTGAGGGTCCATGAGCCTCTGAGTTCAGACAATGCCGCAGAAAGCCTTTCCTATCGGGACCCAAACAAATGGCCTCTCTACGATCTTCATGGTCTATGGCGCTTGAGGCCCCGGGCGTGGGTTGTCCTGGACATCCTTCACCTGGCAGGCACCAAATGGGTGGAATCCGAACATGGAGAGAGGGGGTCGGGTTCCTGGTGCCATGACCTGACTTCTTGTGATGACTTCAATGAAGTCATGGAGTGTGGATGGTGGAAATCCATTGCCCATGTACCCAATATATTCTTTAAAGAGAATGGGTGATCCTTGGGTGATCCTTGCAGAAGTTCTGTCTCGAGATCTTGGAACTGACTCTATCTAGACCCGGACATGGATAGAAAAGTAAAACCATTCGAATGCACCAGGAGTCACAAGTCGGGGTGTGGGTGCCGAAGGAACGGAGGTAGTCGGGGTGCCCAGCTACTCCAATCACTGGCTGAGAGCAAACACCACCCCCTAGTTTGTGACCCCTGGTATTGGACAGTTTTTCCATCTCTTTGGGGACCATAATGATCCATAATGCCTCCCGAAAGAAGCAGATCTCATGAGAAGCAGTCAGCAGCGTTTCACTCCATGAAACCCTGAACCGCGGAACGAGATCCAACACACTGAAAAATCCATACCTATACAACCTGAGTGACCAGAAGATGGTCTTTTCCGATGAAAACAGGGGCCGTACACGTTTGAGCTTTGGGTATGAAATATGTCATGTGGGGAGCATCACCAACAGCATATATGCACGCAGTACAGAGGGTCCCACAGAGATACTCCAATGTGAGGGATTGCAGTCCTGAAAACCTAGTATATAGGAGCCGGTCTTTTTTCCAATCGTTTTTGTGCGATCAACGCCAGAAAAAGGATGTCAGTTCCTGACCTGTAGGGGTCAGTTCCTGACCTGTAGGGGTTAGTTCCTGACCTGTGGGGGTCAGTTCCTGACCTGTAGGGGTCAGTTCCTGACCTGTAGGGGTCAGTTCCTGACCTGTAGGGATAGGGCTTCATTTTCAAGGACACCTCTTAATCATCCTTTCTTCACGTCCGTCCCTCCTTCGAACCGACCAGTACAAACCGGAGGACGCCGTCCGCAGAAGCCGACGATGAGGTGCCGATGAAGCACCGGGGTGACACGTGAAAGAGGGGTGAAGTCAGGTGCTGAAAGCGGGTCACTCCATGTCCGTCCCTTAGACCCCTGGGTCAAGCCGGGTGGGGGAGACGAAGGTGGGTGGTGTCAAGCTGGGTCAGTTTGGACCTGTCAAGCCGGGTGGGTGGTTTCAGCTCTGAGGGTTTTGAACAACGGACCGTCTGTGCTGCGCAGTGCTGCCCCGCACTGCGCACTGCTTGGGATGGGATTTGAGGGCACCCGACGGAGAACCCGACGGAGACGGACGGTGAATGATTAATATTGGAGATGGTACCGGTCGCACTTCCAACGGGTGCCCTGTCGTGAGACCTGTAAGTAGGGTAGGGTAGTCTTTTGGATACCCATTGGATGACCCTAATCTAGGGATTCAAGTAGGGAGACACCTACATAACATAGTATTGGGTACACCTACATAACAGTGTCTCTCTTCTTAGGTAAGGATGGAGACACTGTGATTTGCCGGTGCCAAAACGTCGGGTCCAGGAGGGTCCTTTCTGAGGAGTTACGACTGGATTCCAATAGAGGGTCAATGCAGGCAAGGCGGTGTCAAGAAAACCACAGGAACTGAATACACTGCAGTGCACTGCAGCTGGGCGAGCGCGGCGAAAGATCCAACCGAACGGGCGAAATCAGATCCCAATCCCAGATACTCCATGGGACTGCCATATATGCCTACATTGCGGTGGTTTTCGGGGTCAATGTAGGCAGATATGGCATACATGGAGTGTCTGGGAATTCGACTGGAGGTACTATAGTACTCCACTACTACCAGCACCAGGGTTTAGGGTTTAGGGTTTAGGGTTATATAATTCATGGAACATAGATAGTCAGGGGGTCTAGAAACCACCCTTTTGGGTGGTGCTGGTAGTAGCTTCTTGCTCCTAGTAGCGATGCCAGGAGCCCTCGTAGCGTCCCTGCTCCTAGTAGTAAGGCCAGGAGCCCCGTTTGTAGCGTCCGATCGCTCCGTTCGTACCTCCACTTCGGAGGGGTTTCAGATCAGATCACCTCCAACCAGCCCCTCCAACATCCAAGCTGCGCCATCCTTTTTGGGTTCTCCAAGATATGCCACAACAATATATTCTACGGTGGCCTGAGACAGCCTCGGAGATTCAACGGTCATGTAAAACGAGTCCAAAACCGATCGAGATCAAATGCAAAAACCGGTCGCAGTGGCTTCAACGCTGGGCCAGGTTGACACATCCACCAGGTTGACCAATCCACCACCCACAAAGGATCTGAACTGGAAAACGGCGAGTCAATTTGATCACCAAAGGCCATCGATTCACCAAAGGCCATCGAATTTGTAACATCTCATTCACTGTGAATCTCATTTCCGGGCTTCAAAATCTCACAGACTGAGCGCCACCATTAAGAGATGCCGGCGCCGGACAATTTGTGCTCCCAGAAAGAAATACATCTCGTCGAGCTACTTGTCGAGCTACTCCCGACGCATCTCCGGCGAGACGCACCCGGCTACAATCCATGCAACTTGAAGATCTGCCTACAGTGGGTTCAGAGTATATGTTCTTTACATGGGAGTTCAATGGAGTTCATATAAACCACCAACATTGGGGTTTGTGCCATTGGTCCTCTCAATCCACGAAAAACACTCCCTGAATCCGTGAAATGATTGGCCAGCATATATATAGGAATTGGCCCCGATTTCGAATGACCATGAAATCCAGGTGAACTCCACCAATCCGGGATTCTTTCAGGGAGTGTGGGGTGATTCATGTTCGAGAGTTTCAAGAGTAGTAGGTAACTCTTCCACATTCCATCTTCCAACATCCGCAAGCGAGTCCAGCATACGGATTCGCCAGCGACTCGCCATATGAGCCGAGTTGCAGGTATGGATCCACTGCGATTGGGAGGAATTCAAGGCTCTCAAGGACCGCGGCTCCCCGGTGCCGAGCAGCTCCAAGTCGGTGGGCGACAAGTCCGGTGTCCGGGTGAATTCGAAGGGTTCGGAAGTTCTGACTGGTCATGTCAAGACCTTTCAAAGGGTCATGTTCTGACTGGTCATTCGAAGGGTTCTGACTGGTCTGGAATCTTCCAACATCTTCCAACATTTGTTTGGTGCCAATGTTTGTTGCTTTTTCGGTACAACGGGGTTCGAACTTGCTTTAAATGTGCCCATCATTGAAACAACTCGATGGCTTTTTGGAGGCCAGAACATTTGTGACCCCCTTCGGCTCTGGGTGTTTGCTCCACTGTTCTGCGACTTGGAGGTTTTTGAGTTGTGAAGGACTTTTCCCAATCCCACGGTGAGCGTGAAACTGAATGAACATACTATCCCGTGACTGGCCTCCGTTTTCGTACCGAACCTGAGGTGAAGGTGGGACTGGGGTGGGTGCCAGGAGGGTCTAGATAAGGTACTTGGAGGTGTAGGGTATTCAACATGATGTCTATTTAATTCTATTTCTATATTAATATTTGTCAGGGTGTTTGGTGAAAGATCATTGATGTTCCATCAGCTTGTTGCGATCTTCGGTGGGACATTTTGGGAGATGGAAGTGGGATTCGTTAACGGGTCTGATACCAGGCAGTTTTGACACAAGTTTTGGGTCCAGCCTTTGCAGAGCGTGAACCAAAAGCAATACGTTTGCCTACACATGCACATTGTACACACACACACACATACTGTACTGATCTATAAGTACTTTGCGCCCACAGGTCCCCACCTTCCCCCGCCACAACCCCAGCCGCTTGTGGTGGAAGAGCGCGAATTAGTGTATCAATACAGCCCGAATCGGGCCTTCCAGGTCTCCTTGAGACCCCCTCCTTCCAGTGATCCCTTCGGACGGCTGAGACGGAGCTCTACCTCTGGGAAGGCCTGGGAGTAGAGCCTCCTTCTGAGGAGCAGAATTCCAGAGCTCATCAGCTGCCGGAAGGACCGAAGCAGCGCGGAACGAACAACGAGACCTCGACCACCGAGACCACACCGCGGCGACCAACGACCACGGTATCACCCGGGACCCTTCGGAATGGGGGCTGCAAAAACGGCATGTTGGGTCTTTCGGAATGATGGAATCACCTCACCTTCCCAAATCTGTCATACTTTTGAGTGAAGGCGATTGGATGATTCTCTGAACATCTTCTTGTTCCCTTTCCGAAGGTCAATTTTTGTCCACGCGTGGTTTCTGTGTTGTGAGTGGTTTCGGTATCGATTCCGCTGAAATTGGAGTTTCTTTTTGTCTTGGAGTATCTCCTATAACTAGCGGGCTACTACGGCTAAATAGGGCATCATCTCCTACAGGTTTTGTGGTGCATTGGGTTCAATGATTCTTCATGTTAAGAGCTGGGGGACGGGTTGGAAGGGGGGCACCAAAGATTGAGAGTTCTCAAGAGTTTCTGTCCATGTCTGACATGAGCCACCAGGAGCCAATTGAAGCACGTGAAGAAGGAACCCAATTGGAGGGCTTGTTGCGCCAGGCTTTTTCTGGAAGGGCTTTGGATGAGAGCGGCTACAGCCGTTCTTTGGCCCCTACGACGCAGGCCGGGCACTTTTAAGTGGGTGTCGCGAGATGTCGCGAATTTTGTTTGATGTTTGTGCTGCAGATTCGAGTTTGCAGCTGTTTCTAATTACACACCTGCATCCCATTTCAATGCCAGAAAGTTTTTTTTCAAGGACTTTGGCCCCTCCGGCATGTTGCTGGTTCATTTGCTCAGCATCATGCCACTTTTCTCGGGATTGTTCTTCGTTCGAAGAAGCACCCGCTGCTGCCCCTTGGCGAAGGAGTCAGCCTCAAGAACAGGTTAAATAGCGTCCTGCAATCCTTGGACTCCGGTGAAACACTGCCCACTGTTGGGCTTGCCAACAGCAGCAGTTCGAGTTGATATGATTTCACCAAGTGCTTCATCATGCTCAGACCACTTGATGGCCGTACTGTTCAAGGGGCACCCCTTGGGACTGTACCGTTACGTCCCAGTCGACGGATGTGAACCGCAGACTGCAGATGTCAGCTGTCGGATCATTCCAATTTTGACGTCGGATCATTTAGCGCCCGGGGACACATCATTGCGTGTGACGCTCGGCCATTGGTGCGATGATGCGATCCAAAAAGGAGGGCGCTTTTTGGCCCTTTGCCCCTCGCTGCCGCGGTGCCTGCGAGAATTGGTCGAATGGCCATGGTGCCTTTTTTCTCGGAAGGGAAGTACTCTAACGTGAAGCATTTGGAGGCTCAGGCCGGGGCGACTGCCGGACTTGACTCGACACATGTCAACACCCGATGTTCACCGAGAGTCCGGAAGGATTGCGGAGGTTGGGGAGGTTGGATCTGTTGCCCCTAGCCAGTTCAGATGACTGTTGGAACATACACGGACAACGGGAGAAACCACCTGAAATGGGTGGTGCTGGCAAGAAAATACCAGTTGGCAACCTCCAGGTAGGTGGACGTTACTGTGTTTTTCACGCGCTTTGAGCCAAGGGCACCACGACCACTGATTCGATAGGAATTGAAATGGCTTTGGGTCAAAACCCGGAGCCCTAAACCCTGGTAGGTTGACATCCCTTAGTCTATTCATGTCTATTCTGTTCATTTTCTATGGTTCAGCATCGTCGACCTTTTGGTATTTGTGCCACTTTGAAACTATTTGCTCCCTGGGAGTCAAACTTTATATATACCCTAGAAGTCCAAAGACTATATTTTGACCGGCTGAAGTAAAGGAAGTTCCCTTTCAGGTTCCCTAAAGACCATTCTTTTTATAGTCTTTGACTCCCAGGGTATATATATATATATTATATAATTATATAATTAAGAAAGAATGGTCTTGACTCGGGGATCTGACAAGGAATTTCCTTTACTTCAGTGGGGCAGAGTGAAGTCTTTGGACTTCTAGGATGTAGTTTCTTCGAAAATTGGAGGCCCAACTTGTTCAATTCAGATCTGAGGACTTGGAAGACGTCTCGGGATTGCCGGTGGTGGTCCAGCAACGTGCCTTTCACTGCGTTTGGCGTGACTCAATGGATTGGAGGGCCGAACTGAGATTCAAAAACTCGAGCCGCAGGGAGGGGGGGTAGGGCGTGCCGTAAATCCCAGCCTTTGCTGTAGCTGCATTGGATACTTGAAGCATCTTGAAGCTATGATTTCGGTTTGGGATAGCAGACGAGAAGGATCCGTGCAGCTTGACCCCATGACACCCAAGCACAAGACCGTCAGAAGAGGGCACCATCTCTGGTTCAGAGCAATAGGGATAATCAACTCAGACACCCAAAATGGAACATCATGCTTACATTGGGATACATGAGTGTTTGGGTAATGCAATTTCATTCACTTCACCTCAGATGGAGGTCCTTATACACCCCAACCTACCTTTTGTTTCATATCTCAAATCTGAAACTTGCTGAGTTGACCTGAGATCAACCCGCCTATCACGCCTACACCCAAGGGATTCGGATCTACTGAACCATGACCGCTGCTGCACTGCGCTGGTCCAAACATTCGGCCGTAGAACGTCGCGCACTCATACCTAGATGTTCCTCAGGCAGTTATTTCTGCCTGAATGGTTTCAGGCTGGTATGTCATGGTTCCTTAGAGGATCTAGGTATATCATGCGAGGTTTTGACGTAGGACGTCGCCCCACAACAGCTTCCACCTGCAGCGAACCGGAAATTGGGTGATTGGGTGATTGGCGCCGTCGCGTCGTAGCCGTAGATGTGGACGGCCCATTTTGGGACGGAACTGGCACTCCATGGAACTGGCAGGTGTTGGTTTCATTGAAACGCTGGCAGGTGGCCATGACCCAAACATACCCCAAACACGACTAATGGGACTGGCGGTAGGACTCCCGATCAAGCCAGGGGCGGGCCTAGGGGGCGTGGGCGGCATATCTTCCAGTCCGAAGTTTCTGGGTTTCTGGGTCATCTCAAGTTCATCGAAACCGCGGGTGGTCAGAAACCACTCCGGAAGACCGCGTCCTCGAAACCGGAAGACCTGGAGGTCCGTGCCTTCCAAGACCCGACCGGCTGGTTTTTGCAGGATGAACAGGTGGAGATTCTGCTAGGAAGATCTGGGTATGTTCATGGTGTGGAAGATCCAGGTGCACAAAGTTGGAAGATCCAGGTATCAAAGGTCAACAATCCAAGGAGATCGATAGAGTGTTTGAGCCTGGGCATCCGCATTCTTGTCCAAATGGACCCTACATCATCCTACCCCTACACCTCCAGTCGTACCTCCTCAGGTTCGGTACTTGGACCCTCCTGGCACGCGGGCCCCCAGTCCCACCGAACCTCAGGTTCGGTACGACTGGAGGCCTAGGGTACATCAATGTGTATTCCTCACATCACCGTATTCCTCAAGGCCGACCACCCGTGGAGTCTCCCCACCCACGCCGACTGCCGAGAGTTCTCGGCCTATGGGTTCGAACACCGGCCGGGGGCCCAGGCTTCTTCATTGCAGCCGGGCACCCCTGTGTTGAGCTGTGTGAGCGGTGTCGGGAAACAAGGCTATTGGGAGACGCGCTTGCGGGTGGCGGTTCTAGTTTGTGGATATATATATATATAGATGTGGAGAGAGGAAGCAAACAAGGCCTAAGAAACATATCAATCTGATGTAAATCTGATGTTGCTGAGACGTGTTGGGCAGTAGATCACGATGATGTTTGCTTGGGGAACTTGCGCGTCTTCCACCAGCACAGATGATGTGTTTCTAACTGTCAAGATCTTGTTGTGATGGCTGTTCTTGTTTTTCCTCAAGTTCTGTCATATTCCTAAATTGCATTAGAGAGAGAAAACCATGCACAACTATACTAAATGGTCTTCCATGTTCGGAGACACCCATATGATGCCTCATAGTTTGTTTCTGGCACAGCGGGGCATCTCTTGCCTCCTACTTTGCACCACATCAAGGCCGCTGATACATGGTCTCATTGTATGTGAAGACCACCCCACCCCACATCTTCAGAATGGAAAAAGCCCCTGACGCGGGCCCCCTCAGCGGGCCGGTGGTCCGTGTCCGGGTCGCGTGAAACGCCACACATCACGTGGTGCGTTGCTTCGCCCTGTCGAGACATCACCGGGTGCAACTTCGCACCAAACGAATGCAGCACGACTGGATGGTGGGCCTCGTACAGTGCGCAGATCATCGTCCAACCTGAGAGTTGTTCTTCCAGAGAGTTGATAGTATACACGATGTGTGGAAGGAAGGATCCACATGATTCTTCATCCATTCTATTCGTATATTTTTTAAAAAATATATATATACCCTAATCTTCAAAGGCCAAGTTTAACTTGGACGTGCACGTTGTCTATGTTTAGCTAGGTTAAACTTCGTCGTTTTGCAAAGGTTATGTTTCACTAGCGTGATTCAGGTTTCATGGCTCAAACAGTTTTGTTGAAGCGTGATTGGATCGTGATAGTGGTATTTTCATACATATATGGATCGTATTGATATTATACCAATAATATTACATTAGCATAATCATGTCAGACATGGTTTCTTATGGTTTCTTCATTGGGCTTGTGCGTACAGCCCATGGCCCTGACATGCGGAGGGCTTTGCAAAAAAGCCAGGGCCTTGGAACTAATGTTCACCACTCTCACACGAGTTCCTGCTTCAAATCTCAGGGAAGCGTGAACTTCGAACAGATGGAGAAGGTGCCACTGCCGTGCTCGCTCGTATCAGGGTTGTCAGTATTTTCATTGAGTGATGTTCCCTACCATCCAAAGCCATTTCAGCCGGGTCCCGCGGGCGGCCATCCATTTTTGTCGCTCGCTTGACGGTTGGAAGCGATATGCCCACCACGAAGCCTGACATGCTTCGGAAGAGATTGTTGAAGGACTGGGGATTGTGTTTGATCGAGTTGACTAGTCCCAGTGATTTATCCTTTCTGGTGAGGATATCTATGAAGAGCAACTTCAAGGAGAATTTAGAGAGGAAAGATTCCGAGAACTATGCAAAAAGGAAAAAATTCCGCAAGCAAAATGTGAAAAGATGCTAGTGGAAAAGAAGGCACTTGGGGCAGTTTGGGTCTCGTGATCGTTCGTTCGTGGGTACTTGCACAGGTCCCGACAACATTTTCCTTCATCGATGTCCACCCAACAAAGGGCATAAACGAGGATATCGCCTGCCTGACATGTCTTTCAATCTTTGTTCAATCGTCACATGAACGAATGCAACCTTTGCCAGATGCAGACACCCCGGAACGTTTCTTTCCTGATGATGTGGCTCCCGACATTCACATTGAATCCGCCAACGGAAAGGGAATGCAAGGACAGCCGGATTTACATCCTAATATGGACATCTCATAAACATTCTTTTGCAGGAGACTTTGTGCGACATTGCAGTCGAGTTCAACTTGGTGGGCGATCAATCACACACTGTTGTGGAGGACCTATGTTTTCTTCTGTTGAGCGAATGGGTCCACTAATTGATTCAGGACTGGGCCATGAAAGAGGGTAACCTCCACCGGCTTTTGGCTGCAAAGGTTCTGACCTGCTACCGACGAGCAAAATCTGGAAGGCAGTGTTCGGATTCATCCAAAGGTTTGATTTGTCGATCGATCTTGCCCAGGCGAAAGGATGGGGCAATGCATAAGCTGAAGATGTTGGTCGGTATGATTTTAGAGGATGGGCTGCCCAACATGCTACAACTAGAGCACCCAGTGTCTGGTAGTCAGTCCTTTACTCGACAGGACGCTGGTGTGGCAAAAAGAACAAAGTCGATCAGAAAGCCGCTCTCCAAGGCGTCCACATTCTTCAATGTATTTCTTTAGTGACAACGATACTTAACACATCACTTGATCATGTAAGTAAGCCCCTACATTCCGGTCCTCACCGACAAACTTTGAGGCAGAGGAAAGCAAGAAGGAAGAAAGAAAAGATAAGGTTGAGAAATGCAAGACGGCTGAAAGCGAGGGAGGGGCACCTGCAGACTGTAGAGGTGAAGAGCAAGTAGAAGAGATGTTGATAGAGGAAGAGGAGGAGGAAGAAGAAATTGAGATTGATGAGGAAATCGATGTGGAGGACTCCCATGCGGCATCAATGACGCCTGAGGAAGTGAAGGAAGTGAATGAACGGTACCAGCAGCAGATCGACGAGGCGGCCAAGGCAATGTTGGCGAAGCAGTACAACTCACAAGAGAACTCAAATAAAAGTGAAGCAGCCAAGAACCTTGAGGAGCAGAAGAAGAAGGATGAGCAAGAACTCCGAGAGAAGGAGGCACAGAGATT